AACATGAAGTCCTTTCCGGGCCAGATGTGCAGATGGTTGGGGGAGATTCTAAAATGAGGGCCAACACTGTCCTTGGACGAAGGCTCTGCCGGCTTGATCTGGAACTCGCACCAGAGGGTGTCGATGTACTCTTGCTTGTAGTCCATGTGAGCAAACTTCATCATGTGGTACCTGACGGCGGAGTGGGCTCCGTCGGCGCCAATCATGAAATCGAAGTCAATCTCAATCTCCCGCGCGCGACCAGTAGCTGATTCGGAGGTCATCACCTCGAACCAGGCCTTGCACTTCTTGAAGTCGGCGCCCGTAAGCTTATGACTGAAGAAGAACTTGACGTTGGGCATCTCCTCGAGAATGTCGAGCATGCGCTTGTTCAGACCGGCGCGATCCACGGCGTAGATTGCCTAAACAGTCAGCATCCGGGTTAGGACCCCTAGAAACCGGTTGGCTCACCCTTCCGTGAACATCGTAGTCCTGAGAGGCCTCGTACAGATCACCTTTCGGGGTTCTGCCGTGAATCATGCGACCGCGCATGGGAATGGTGGCGCCAAAGACATGTTCCAGTAACTTTGGCTGGCCAGCATTGCGCATAGCGTTGATGCCGCGCTCCGAAAGTGCCAGGTTGATGGAGCGGGTGAAGTTCAACAACTCCGTGGTCGGATCTCGCAGGTCTACATTGCGAAAGTCAGTGGCATTCAATTGAGTTTATGAGTGACCAGGCTTATCGTCAATGAAGTCGATGCGGCCCCATTTCAGAGATATGCAACAGCCAAAAGCAAGCAATCTTATCAATCTCATCCACATCACCGTCTCGGCGCAGACGGTGGTGGGGCTTGGAGGATCCCCCGCGACTCTGCAACGGCGGCCGAGCCGAAAGAGGGCTGAAGGGGAATAGCAACACGCGACCGAGACCAAGAGACAGAAACTTACCAGGACGCAACTCGTAAATCTCGACATCGTGACCGCGTTGCGCGGCATAAAGCGCAGCGAGCGAACCAACTGGGCCAGCGCCCACAACTACAACTTTCTGTTTGCCGGCCATTGCTGGTTGGGCGCCGAAACAAAGAGATTCTCCAATTCCAACGGGAGGGATTGCTGGAAAAAGGAAAACAGTCTACGGCCGGTGGCGTGAAGAGAGTCGCATGATGATTTCGCACATTGGCGGGTCGAGTCGGCCGGGGGAAGAAGCCAAGTGGGCGGCCGGGGACAGAGGGACAGAGGGAGAGAGCGTCAATGACTTGCCGCAACGCCGCAGAGCGCACCTTTCTTTCACCTGCATTTGAAAGCTTTTTTCCACCAAGAGTCCAGGTTCAGGTCCAGGTGGTGCCCGTTACCGTCTCGGAGACGTCGGCTATTTCCCGGAAGCCCCGACAAAGGAAGCTCCGCGGTGCGAGCTGCTTCGGCCTTTAGCCGCAAACGCTGACAAACTGAAGTACCTGCTGGATATCGCCTATCGATAACAGTCTTTATCTGATAAGATTGCAGCCAATCGATAAAACACCCAAGACTGTTGGAGCAAGCGCCCGCCCGCTAGCCCACCAAAAATTGTCGCTGTTGGTGGCGGGGAACCGACCTGGGACGTGTGGAAGCGCCCGAGCTGCGGCAACGTACCTATCACAGCCTCAGACTCTTGGCCTCCACTGGAAATAATTCTTCGTCAGGTCACTTTTCAGTCGTACCGTACTATATGCTGTGCTGTTAGCTGCCGCGCCGCATTCTCCATCCGAACCCTGTCGTTTCCCAGGGTCTTTTTTTGCGTAAACTTCCATTCTCTGTTTTCAAGTGTCTTCCAACACCATCGTCACCTCGTGAACACCACTGCCGTTCCTCTTGCGACACACGACCAACGACCGCCCACCATGACGGAACCCCCCGCGAAGAAGAAGTGCCTGGGAGTCGACTGCCCCAACGATGCTGGCTCCCTCCAGTGCCCGACATGCTTGAAGCTGGGAATCAAGGACAGCTACTTCTGCTCGCAGGACTGCTTCAAGAAGAACTGGGTTAGCACTGCAGAATCATGCCCGCGACGACAACCGCGACGGCTGCTAACTGCGCGCAGGGCAACCACAAGGCCATGCACAAGACCGAGACAAGTATACTCCACCACGTCCTCCCGCCAAAGGTCGTCTCTAAACCAGATCCAGAGACAGGTGTCTTCAACCCCTTCCCGACTTACCCCTTCAGCGGCCCCCTCCGACCCGTCTACCCTCTTTCCGCCCGCCGCGAGGTTCCCAAGTCGATCCCCCACCCCGACTGGTGGCAAGATGGTCAGCCCAAGTACCCCAGGTCCATTCTGAACAGGAACAAGGTTGATATCTTGGATGCCAAGGGAATTGAGGGTATGCGCAAGGTCTGCCGCCTGGCAAGAGAGGTTTTGGATATTGCTGCCGCTGCCATCAAGCCCGGCATCACCACGGACGCCATTGACGAGATTGTCCACAAGGCTTGCATAGAGAGAAACGTGAGTGCTATGCGCTGAAACCAGCGCGCGTGGGCATGAGAGCTGACCAGGTGCCCAACAGTCCTACCCGTCTCCCCTCAACTACAACCACTTCCCCAAGTCGGTATGCACCTCCCTCAACGAGGTCATCTGCCACGGCATTCCCGACCAGCGTGTCCTGCTCGACGGCGATATCCTGAACATTGACGTTACGCTGTACCACGAGGGTTACCACGGCGATCTCAACGAGACGTACTACGTTGGCGAGCGGGCCAAGGCCGACCCCGACTCCGTCAGAGTGGTGGAGGCTGCTCGCGACTGTCTGGACGCCGCCATCGCTGCGGTCAAGCCCGGCACGCTGATCCGCGACTTTGGCAACATCATCGAGAAGATCGCCAAGGAGAGGAACTGCAGTGTCATCCGCACGTACTGCGGCCACGGCATCAACAAGCTGTTCCACTGCCCTCCCAACGTTCCTCACTACGCCAAGAACAAGCAGGTTGGCGAGTGCAAGCCCGGTATGACTTTTACCATTGAGCCCATGATTGCTCTTGGTAAGTACCGGGACATCACTTGGCCCGACAACTGGACCAGCACAACGATCGATGGCAAGAGGACTGCGCAGTTTGGTGAGTGATATATGGTGACCGATAGCAGACATGGATAGATTGCTAATGATGTTACAGAGCACACGCTCCTTGTCACCGAGGATGGCGTGGAGGTACTCACTGCCAGGAAAGCCGACTCCCCTGGTGGAAAGATCCCGATGCCCGGCGCCAACGGCGATGCCAACGGAACGACCGCATAAACAAGCATTAGCATACACATATGCATAAACAAGCAGCAGGAGGCGTTGTGGTGAGGGGGAAAACAAGGAGATACATGGTTTGGTGCAGTGTTTACGTGGTGACGACTGGCAACACCGAGGTATCGAGCTCATGCAGGGTGTTGAGCCGGCAGAGCGAACGAGGTTGCTAGCGTTGGGCATGATACCTTGGAGAATCATGACTTGAAAAGCGAAAGAATTGATGCTGAAAGCACGGGCACGTGAGATCGGATCCAAGCGTGACGTCTGGGGCGGTCCCCTGTCCCATGTGGTGGACGGAAAAGACAGCTGTCAATCGAGGGGCATTTATGCCAGGGATATCCCAAGTTAGGGACATGGACATGTGCTTCTGCTGTTCAAGCTTCCGGTCCAGGCTGCGACTCGGACTCGTAATACACAATAGGGCGCGTCGTAGTCGTAGGCGGCAATCCGGGCCAAGACCGGCAGAGAGCCCGTCGAGCCCCCAGCCTCCGCTCCCAGCCACCCGGCGGACACAGAATGGACGTTTTACGATGATGCGAAATGCCCCTCTCCCCACCAGGCACAGCCATTGATGGACTGTCAACAGCTGGATGAGGGGCGGGAACAACACCTGGCAGCTGGGACGAAGGAGGGGTCCTGTTCGCCGCGATGGGGACCCCTGGGGATTTATCTGGGATTTTCTGTGTTTCCCCTCACGCTTGTGCCGTCAACTGCTCAGTGTGGCTCAACTGGCGGGTCTGGAATTCGCGGCCACGCATCGATGGGATTCGCTGGGGTCGCCGGTCGGAGCGTGAGAAATCAGAAAAACGCTGCCGGAGGATTTTCTAGCGGTACGTATCCCCTGTATTGCCAGGTGCATCTGGTGGTGCACCTGTGAGGTGCAGGCTGGCGGGGCGCAATCCCGGGGCGCTGACTGGCTGTTGGTCGGGTGTTGGCCGCTGCTGGCCAGGCAGGGAGCCCAATCTGGGCCTGCCTGCCCGCTGCTTGGAGGTCCAGGTCAGTTGAAGGGCACCTCACGCTGGTGGTTGTTGTGGTGGTGGTGGTGGTGTGCTGGAGCAAGGCATCGACACTGGAGCCTCTTTCATCATCAGAAGGGAAAACCTAGCCCCGTAGCTTTTGCCCGCGCGCACCATACCCACCCTCCCGATTTTCCACGGCCCAACCTCAGTCAACGGCGCACTACGCACTACCTCACCTCAGTAGCTTTGCTTGTGTGGTGTCCTCGACCCTGTTCGGCTCGCTTCCTACCTAACCTTGCCTCTCTTACCTCACCTGGCTTCGCCTCGCCTCGCCTTGCCTCAACTCGCCTGCTAGAGCAGAGTCTCCTCCGTCTCCGTCCCCGTCTGCTGCTTCTTGCCTTCTCCCACCAAAAAGCCAACAAGATCCAACCACGACTCGACTTCGCCATCGACCCCTTGGATACCCACACGTGTCGTCTGGCTCTTGTCTATCTATCTCCCTCGCACTTTTCTGCAGCTTCCGCAGCATCCCCCCGACTGCAATTCCTGACTGCAACGGTTGCCTCGGCGCAGAGCTTCCCTCGTACATCACCCCAGTGACGTCGAAGCATTCCACCCGCCCGCATCGCACACAGCTCCAAACCAACCCTTTTGAGCGCAGAAAAAAAAGAGACGAGAGCTTCCCCTCCTATCTCCAACAACAGCACGCCCGACCAGTGCTGTCTGTATCTCTACCAACTAAACACCTCATCTTCTCCATCTCGATCAAGCGCAGCTCGCTGCCAAAGCCGTTAACATGTCTGGCGAAGCGTGGTTATACCTCCTCGCCGTCCTCATAAATGCCGTCAACCTGTTCCTCCAAGTCTTCTTCACCATCATGTACAGCGATCTGGAATGGTACGTTGATCTCCTCCTGCCCTCGAGTCGACGCGCGCCCACCGTGCATCGCCGCTGGCCGCTGCTCTGCGAGCTTAAACAAGCTGCAGCTGCTGCAGACGGCTGCAAGAGCGCGCTCGTGCTCTTGATACCTTCAAAGATGGGACAATTGACAGCTAACCCTCACCTTCTGCAGCGACTACATCAACCCCATTGACCTCTGCAACCGCCTCAACACCTACATCATCCCCGAAGCCGCTGTCCACGGATTCCTGACGTTCTTGTTCCTGATTAACGGCTACTGGGTGCCGCTGATCCTGAACCTGCCGCTGCTTGCCTACAACATCAAGAAGTACGTCACATGCTAGGGACCACTGCGGAGAAGGGATGAAAGCTGACTTTGGCCTAGGATTGTTGACAACACCCACTTGCTGGATGCCACCGAGATCTTCCGCAAGCTGAACGTCCACAAGAAGGTAAGCAAGCACCACTTTAGCAGAGTACAATGCATGACTAGATCTAACATCGTTGCAGGAGTCCTTCGTGAAGCTCGGCTTCCATCTCGTCATGTTCTTCTTCTACCTCTACAGCATGATCGTCGCCCTCATTCGCGACGAGGCTCACTAGAGCTGAAGCGCTTACTGCGAACGACAACGGGACGGATTCCAGTACATACATTACCATGCCGTGTGGACGAGAGTGAGCACACCGAAACGCAGACGCTGCGCCTCCCCGCAGCCGGACGCTACGAGGTGGCTCATTATGAAGGCATAAAGCAGGCAACTGCTAGACATGGGGTCATGATACCAGGATGCGGTGGTGGGGATCTGGGGCGGAGAATACGGCGCGGGTGCCCGCGCCTTGGTCTCCCGGAGTTTACGGGCAGAGGTTTGGTTTATGATCGCCTCCGTTTGGGATTCTGATGATGATGAACGGGAAAGGAATGTGATGAAGGGGAGGAGGGAATGGTTGTGGAAGTTTATGATGCGAAAGACAAATACCTAGCTGTTTACTTTATGTTGCTGCCAGGCCGGCTGGTCCTGGGAGCGGCGGGTTGCGATAATTGAGTAATGACAGATCTTTTATTGTGCCTCTTGTGCCTCTATCACTGCTTCCATCATCATCAAACACAAAAGCTTGCCAGCAGCTTTTCCAGGGTTCGATTCGTAAGTGTCCTGTGCTTGTACACTGCAGCTGTCCAAGCTTTTCTGCACCCAGGAGCTTGCATCGCAGCGAAAGCTCAGGCCTGACATCAGAGTCACGTGACACCAACTTTTGCAGATGCGACCAGGACCTTGACAATCGCGACCAAATCCTTCAACCGCGACGCAACCGCCTTTCAACCCCCAAATCTTCCGCGAACAGACGACAGTATTCAAGATGTCGGGCTTTGGAGAGTACACGCCAAACATGGCTCCCCAGGATGCCCTGATTGTGCGCCAGGAAGCAGAGCCCGACCACGCCGTCGTCCCCTACACCGGCGAAGACCTCGCCCGCCCGAAGCTGGGGCCCGCGAACCCATTCAAAGACGAGACAAACACCACCCTGAAGCGCAAGAACGTCCTCACGGGAACAGCGGAAGAGACTTTTCTGTCAGAACATACCTTCCGCAGCAAGCACCGCGCGATCGAGCGGAAAGGAGGACCGGAGCGCGAGTACCAGACGGGCGAGGCGGTCAAAGAGGAGGCGGCGAGGATACGCTCCGGGCGCGAGAAGAAGGGCGACGCGTCCATTGCGGAGGGCGACGGCGCATACGTCGGCCCCTGGGCGCGGTACCGTCGCGAGGAGTACGAGGTCGTCCGCGAGGGGGAGGAGCTCGCGAGCGATGAGGAATACGAAGAAGTCACGGACGACGACGATGTGGTGGAGAGCGGCACCGTCGTGCGCGCGCCCGAGGCCGCCCTGACTAGGAGGAAGGAGGTCGAGGAGATGGGCGAGGAGACGACGACGTTCCACGGCGCCGCGGAGCGGGACTACCAGGGCCGGACGTACATGCACGTCCCGCAGGACCTGGACGTCGACCTGCGCAAGGAGATCGGCAGCATCACGAACTACATCCCCAAGAAGCAGATCCACACGTGGCGCGACCACAGCAAGGCCGTCACGGCGCTGCGCTTCTTCCCGGGCTCGGGCCACCTGCTGCTCTCGGCCTCGGCGGACTCGACGGTCAAGATCTGGGACGTCTACCACGAGCGCGAGCTGCTGCGGACGTACTCGGGCCACTCGAAGGCGGTGGCGGACGCGACTTTTAACAACGACGGCACGCGGTTCCTGTCGGCGAGCTTCGACCGGCAGATCAAGCTGTGGGACACGGAGACGGGCAGCTGTCTGGGCAAGTTCTCGACGGGCAAGACGCCGCACGTCGTGCGCTTCAACCCGTCTGCGGAGCATGCGCATGAGTTTGTGGCGGGCATGTCGGATAAGAAGATTATCCAGTGGGACACCCGCGCCGGCAACGAGATTGTGCAAGAATACGGTATGTTTCTCTGTGTTTTCTCTCGCTCCCGGTATATGCTAACATGTATGCAGACCACCATCTGGCCGCAATCAACACAATCACCTTCGTCGACGAGGGCCGGCGCTTCATGACGACCTCAGACGACAAGTCGCTGCGCGCGTGGGACTACAACATCCCCGTGCCGATCAAGTACATCGCAGAGCCGTACATGTACCCGATGACGCGGGCGGCGCCGCACCCGAGCGGCAAGTACGTCGCGTTCCAGTCGTCGGACAACCAGATCGTCGTGTACGGGGCCAACGACAAGTTTCGGCAGAACCGCAAGAAGTCGTACCGCGGGCACAACAACGCCGGCACGGCCATCGACGTGGATGTGTCGCCCGACGGGCAGTTCCTGGCCAGCGGCGACACGCAGGGCTACGTCTGCTTCTGGGACTGGAAGACGTGCAAGATGTACCACAAGCTGAAGGCCGGCGACCAGGCCGTCACGTGCGTCGCGTGGCATCCGCAGGAGACGAGCAAGTTCGTCTCGGCGGGCGCGGAGGGGGATATCCGGTACTGGGACTAAGAGGGGGGAGGCTCTCAGGGGTTAAATCCGGAGAAGCACGCGGGCTTTCTTGTATTTTTGGTAGGCATTGCTTGGCGTTGGGAGAAAAAGGGAATGCAAAAATTTGGACCTGCGCGTATGTTGCGCGCAGTATGCTACTTGTATGGCTTTGGTGCAAGCACTCTCAACCAGTCACAACTAAGAGATGGGCCGAATGGTCTAGTTGGTAAAGCATCTCTAATAACTTAAAACCAATACCACCCGATGAGTTTCTGGTTACTCTGTTGAGGGTAGGGGCGCTCAGTTCGAATCTCGCAAAAAAAAAAAAAAAAAAGCGAGGAGGGCCTAACGGATGACCGTCGCGTTATCTTTTGTCATTTTGATCTGATTTATTTTTGATGTAGAAGCAGTCCATCTTTAAAAACGAGGTGTTGCTGCTATTTTCTTTTAGTGAGGCTCGTGATGGGATGTTTGTTCCTTCCTTGATGGTGTACTAAGGTGAGGTTGAAGATGTCCGCACCTCCACAGACTCCTTCCCGCTTTAGATCTCAAAACGCCGCCTCAGAGCTAGAAGCAAGTCAACTTCTAGCAAATTAGCTTCCACTTGACTGCTGCAAAAATAGAATAGCTTGAGATCTAGTCAATACAGGCTATTTCCTCGGGCACACGGAGCGCGCCGGTGCAGATGGCTGAAGTAATCCGACGCCTCCTTCCCGCAAATCAGGTGGTGCAGTCATCGACGGGCCATTCTTGGTTGAGCTACCCCAAACGCATGTCTCAACTTTTTGTCCCGCGCATTGAACATACCTCGACCTTCCTTTTTTTTTTTTCTCTGCCTTCACATCATACCTCTTATCACCTCACTCACGAAAGAAACTGGGCAATCACATGTTCGTCTGATCTTCTCATACCTACCGTCCGTCACGGAAGGCCATCGTTTCCTCAGCCTCCGACAGTCTTGTCTCTCTCCTTTCTTCCAGGCTGTCACGATTTCTCCGAATAGCACCGGCGCGCAGAGATGGACTCAATGTACTTCGACGTCTTCCCCGCGAACGACTCAGAATCCAGCAGCGACGAGGAGGACAACGAGTGCGCGCCATCTCTGGAGATCCCGTGTGCGCGGTGCAAGGACAGGAAGCATCTCTGCAAACGATGCAAACGGCGCCAACAAATCTCGAGCGCTGGAGCGAGAAAGTCGTCGCTGGAGAAGGCCTGCTTCCCTCCCCGCGCGGCCAGCTCCGACGCTCCCGCCCCCGTGCCCGAGGTGCTCCTCCCGTCACCGGACGACGAGACTCCTACGCCCAGAAACGGCGCAGCGGCCCCGGTGTACGCGGCCATGTACACCGCCTCGCCGTCCTGGATGTCGACTTATACGTCAAGCACGTGCGCCACAACGTACACGGCGGCGCATGAGCGGTCGCAGCGCGAACGGGGGCCGCTTCTGGAGGTTACGGGCCAGCACCAGAGGAGGAGGATGCAGCCCCGCCGGCCGCGGATGAGTGAGAGGCGGCGGTCTTCTGGGTGGCAGACGAGCGAGGTTGAAGGTTGGGATGAGAGGGAGATTGAGGGAGCCGGGAGCTATTGGGATGTCGAAGGGGCGCGGTGGGAGGAGCAGAGGATACGCACGCCGGAGCGGAGGGCGCAGAAGAGGGTTTGGCAGAATGAGAGGGTGCAGCGGGCGCCGGTGAAAGGGGTCGGAAGGAGGAGGAAGTGGGATGAGCAGAAGGGGGAGCTTCGATGGAGGTCGCGGCCGCTGGTTGAGCCGTTGACGCCGAGGTATGTTCATGATGTTGTGATGGTACACAGGGCGAGGTTGCTAGAGATGGCGTTCGTGTCTGGGAAGGGCCATTCGAGGGTTGTGTTTGGCATGGCGTATGCTAGGGGAACGGCACACGCGAGAGGTCTCTTCTGTCTGCCTGCTCCGAAAGGTGAGCCTTCTGGAGATGGGCCCGGGATTACGTGGATGGAAGGGATATGGAATGGGATGGTTGGTTGGTTATGGGGGACTGAAAGGGGTCCTGCTGTCGACTTGAGGGACATAGACTAATGCTTCAATATCTAGGGGAATCAACTATGAGCGTCTAGATGAACTGAGAAATATTCTTGCCATCACTTTGAGGGGACCAAGGCACGAGAAAATAAGTACAACTCAGCCTTTTCCACCATCCCTTTCACATCCTTCATTTGCCTATCCCGGCAGACTCCTATTGACCTTATACGTTAAGTGTTCTGTTCCCTCCGTTGTCCAGGCTCTGCTCTGTTTAAATGTCAGCTTGGTGGCCCTCATCATCATCCTCCCCGTCTTCGTCCTGCCTGGCGTCTTGATGAAGGCTACATGTCCCCCCTCCAGCCCCGTCCTCTACTTGTTCCTCGACTGAATCATGACTTGTGTTGTTTGTATTCTAACCTTCTTCTTGCTGGGGCTCTTCGTCCTTTTCTTCCTCGACTTCGTCTTGCTGGAGATCGTGCTGTCCCCCCTGACCCCCTTCCTCGCCGGCCCGTGAATCGTCGCTCGTGTTAGATCCCTCTCCTTGTTGTGGTTCTCCATCTTTCTGTTCCTGTACCTCGCCAGCTTGCTGCACCTGGTTGTCTTGATGATCGTTTTCGACCTGCTGCTCATTCTGTCGCTCATCTTGTTGCTCATTATACTCCTCATGTTCTTGATACGGTTCTTGCTGCTGCTGGCTTTGCAGGCTGTTATCTTGCTGTTCGCCGTGATGTTGGTCGTCCTTCTGTCTGCCGTCTTGTTGACCATCATCTTGTTGACCATCATCTTGTTGACCATCATCTTGTTGACCATCATCTTGTTGACCATCATCTTGTTGATCATCATCTTGTTGACTATCGTCTTGCTGTCGGCCATCGTCTTGCTGTCGGCCATCGTCTTGCTGTCGGCCATCGTCTTGCTGTCGGCCATCGTCTTGCTGTTCCTGATTTTGTCTCTCATTCTGCTGCTGATCCTGCTGTGGAGGAGGAGCCGACTGAGATCCACCATTCTCCGTCCTCGCAGCCTTGTTTGCCGCTCTCTTCGCAGTTTACGTCTTGTGGCGCGCCTCTCTCTACTGCGCCGCCGCCTCTCTTCCTTTTCGCGGCCACTCTCTTATCCTGCGCTTCTTGTCGTCGCGCTGCGTCAGCAGCCTGCTTCGCTGCCTCTCTCCTCTTCCTATCCTCTTGCATTTGGTTGAGATTCCTAAGTCCGTAACGAGGATGAGCGTGCCGAGGAGGTTGTGGGTTGTTCTGAGCGGGAGGAGGGGCGGGAGCTGAAGCGGGAGCCTTGGACGCCGCCTTTTTGCCCTTCGCTTTGCCCTTTGTAGTAGGCATCGCGTTCTTTGCCATGGCATAAACCGTTGCGCACTCGATGACACTGACGTTGTCGATTTCCATCATCTCTGTGTCGCTATCGCTGGAATGATCGCCAGGACGGGGAACTACAGGTCTGATTTCAGCCGAGGGCGACGGCTTGCGGCGCTTGGAACACGGAAGCGCGTCAACCTCATCTTCATTTTCGTCATCCCGCGAATGCTTATACTTGACAGAGCTCCCCTTCGCGCCTCGCAAGGGATGAGCGCGCGCTTTCTTTGCCAGCCCCGTGGGACGACAACCACGCTCCGGTCTGCAGAATGCGGGATGATCGCTGGTCCAGGTCCCACGAAGCCCGTTGCGCAGCGCGTCCTGAATATCTTCGAGATCCTTGCGGATGCTGCTGATGCGCATGGAATCGACGTCCTGACGCTCAGAGATCATGTCCATGCGGTCGTCCAGCGATTCCTGCATGGCTTCAGAGCCAGACTGGCGGCTTTCGATGCGATCCTGACGGTCAGAGAGGATTTGCATGCGCACATCGGTGTTGACTTCCCATGTGCGGCGCTGGGTAGGCGAGGGGACGAGATGGTTGGTCCCGGAGCCTGGGGATGGGGTCCGACGGAAGCCGAAACCCGCAACATAGTCGTAGCCTGGCTCTTTGTAGTCCGGGAGGCTGCTAGTGTCGTACGAGTGAGTGGGTGTAGACGAAGGTGAATCTCGCACGTATTGAGGAACGGGGGCGTTGACGTTGAGATGGGAGTCGAGGTCAAAGGACATGGCGACGTCTTGGGGGCTTTCGGGGTGGTTCATGTCGGAATCATTCGAGGTGTTGGAACCCAAACTCATTTTAAAATGATTCGAAATCGCACTCGGTGTTGATCAATTTGATTATGGATTAGATATTGATGCTGTGTTGAGTGATACTCGAGGAATATTATTGTGTGAGTGCGAGTTGTGAGCTGAGTTGAGATGGACGATTGAGCCGGCTGGAACCTGTGATATATGGTCGTCGAAATCTGCAAACCAAGCGAAAGAACAATGCTTGGCAAGTCACAATTGGCTTTGTCAGTGGAGAGTTGCCCGCTAACTGCACGAACACCTCGAGTTGCCTTTGTCTAGATGAGGAATGCTGTTGGGCAAGGTCAAAGTGGCCGGCTTTGATCCTTGAACAGTCGCGGTGTAAGAGATATGGCTCCATTGTTTTTGTTTCTAGTGCATAAATCAGAAAACAAAATCTCAAGGCCCTATGCGACTTTGAACAAAGGCGCCTGTGCATGTCGCCTCGACAAGCAGGTCCCTTATTGTCTATCACATTGGGTGAGCACTGATCTTTCCTTTACATCTCATAGGTCTGCAGTATGGTCTTTCATGGATATGGCTAGTATTCATTGGCCGGTTTCCAGGTCAGCCTTTGACTTGACAGGAGTTGTGACCATGAGGTCGATGAGGGAATAGGCGACCTCGGCCGCGGCTAGGACCGTTGTTTCGCCTGCGTTGTCATAAACAGGTGCCACCTCCACTACATCGGCGCCTACAACTGAAAGACCTTCTAGACCTTCGAGAATTGTGAGAAGCTCTCGGGTTGACCAGCCTCCTGGTTCAGCCGTCCCGGTAGCTAATATGTGTTAGCATGCATTTCGCGGAGCTTAAACGGGCCAGTCGAACATACCTGGAGCGAAAGCGGGATCAAGGACATCGATGTCAACACTGATGTAAACCTTGGAGTCACCGACACGTTCCTTGATCTTGGAAATAACGCCCTGCGCGCCAAGCTTGTCGAGGTCCCGCGCAGTTACTATCTCAAAGCCGCATCGAACATCGTTTCTCAGATCACCCTTTCGTCTGATAAGAGGGGCCCGAATTCCGGCATGGATGGAAGTATTCAGAATGAGGTGCTAGCGGTGTCAGTCGTGGTCTACTGTAAGTTTTCTCCAGGTTTGATTACTTCTTCATGGGCAATATGTAGGAAGGTACCGTGGTTGAGGCCGCTAGCAGCAAGTCAGTCTCAAAGACAAGTACATAAAGAGTGACTTTTCAACTCACGCATAATCTGATATGCCTCCACCTGAAAGGCTTGAGTATAAGCATCGACACATATTTCAGTGAGATGCACTTACCAAGAACGGAAGGGTCCCACGTATCTGAACTCCAGTGTCAGCAACTGGTGTCACCGAGGTCAGTGGTCGTTGAGACAAACCAATATGACTATCAAAGTGAATGACAGAGACAGGTCCCCATTTCTCATACGTCGACCGAAGAGCTGACAATGTCGTCGTGTGGTCGCCGCCTAAGGCGAGAATCCTAGGTGTGACAGACACAGCCGAGTTTGCTGCTGGTCGGCCGGAGATGCCCTTGTCTTCATCAGCATCTTGTTCCTGGATTTGGAGCTAAAAACCTGTCACCTTGTGTGCCTTGTCAAGTCGCTTCAGTGAAACGGTGTTATCCAACCATGTAAGACGTGCATCACCACAGTCGACCACTCTAGCCCAACTCTGCAAGGGGTCACGGCCTATGAGGACGGTCAGCTAGACTGCCGACTTGTGCGGGCCGCTTGGGGGGAAAAGCCGACCGGTGAAAATGTCCCATTGCCCAGGCCCTTTTCTCTGGCTGCCCATACGAATGGCCGGTGGACCAAATCGAGCTCCCGGGCGGCCAGTAGTTGTCTGTTGCATGCATCAAGTCAGATGTACACGCCGATTAATGTTGGATTCGGGGTGGACGGACTGTATCGTGAGGGGCACCGAAGATGGCAATGTCATATAATTGACCTTCGGCGTCCCCGCCAGAGAAGCAATCCACAAACGGCAGATTGGCAAAGGTCTTCAGTCCAGCGATGGTATCGGCACCGGAGATGTCGATGTCGTCGTCATTGGTTTGAAAGGTCAAGGGCATCTGGCCGTGAGGGGAATTGGCCAGGACCCGGTGGGGGAGCTGCCACGCAGCTGTGCCTTGAAGGCCAAAAAGAGCAACGAGGAGGGCATGCATCGTTGATAACAAGCTCTACGACTGGACGGCTACTAATGCGAATTTCCTCGGTAGCCAATTTCTAGGGGAAAAAGTGTAAAATCTCTCAGGATGGACATTGGTAGCGCGCCCAGCGCTGTACAGGCGAATCACTCCTATCGGGGAGACGCAGCGAGCCGAACATTACCTAAGGAGGTTCCTTCATCCGTCCCTCCCTGCCTCGTTCCTTATCGTTGTGCATATCTTATAGGTCTGCACTAATCTCTTCGATCAAGGAAAGAACGACCCTCCGTCAGGCAGTTGCCGGGGAATGAGAAATAGATGAGGTTTCCTTCCGTGAAACTCGAGCGCACGATGTTTGCCGGATGCTCGGTGCCTCGGGTGTCGTCGCGACTTCATCCAGACAACAATCCTTCCGCGCTGCCATCTCCAAAATATCAACGTCGCATCACTCACCTAAGATGATGGCAGCAATCGCTTGACCTACCTATTGTCCTCTACGAACTGCATTTTTAGCACTCCTCTCTCTGCTATCTCTATCTCCGAATCAGGAAACTACTCTCTTCCTGCCTATCCGCCCCACCATGAATCTCCGATTTGGCGGAATACGAAATGAAAACATCCGTCTGAACCAGATTGACCATGATGGTGCTGTTGACGACGACGATGCAAACGAAGGTCCTCCAAGGCCTCTCCCGAAGAGCAACTGGAGATCCATCTCGAAATAGTGGATCGACGAATACCTCCTCGTCGTGGTCTGCATCATCGGGGCGATTGCCTTGGGAATCATTTTCAAAAGATTCGATAAGGATTTGGTACCAGTGCTGCCCTTAGGCGTCGACTTCGACGTCGTCATAGTCGCCATGTTCACATGTGTCCGCGTTGCAATGAGTGGCATTGTCGAATCCTGCATCAGCCAGGCCGCTTGGATTTGGGTTTCTGACGCGCGCCAAAGCCGTACCCACGACATGCGTGCAAGATTGGAAGACTTCAAGATATACGACGAAGCCTCGCGTGGTCTGTGGGGGAGTATCTGCCTCATTTGGCGTCTGCGGGCAAGGTAATGGATGCAGCACCCGACACTCTTGATCAATCCCATGGTTAACTCTGCAAAACAGGCACCTGGCATGCATCGGAGCCTTGATTGTCATCTTAGTCCATGGACTTGAGGCATCCTCTCAACAGCTCTATCAATACGAGCCCAGACCATGGAAAAACGAAACAGCAGGTCTAGTCGAGCCTCCCCCGAGAAGTGATTTGTAGGACTTTACGGTAACGCGGGCACTTGATCCTCGTAAGTAGATGCCTTCTTGTCGCTTCACTTCTTCTGACAGTACGCAGTGCCGGCTCTAAACGTATCCACGAAAGCCGCCGTTTATAGCGGCATTTTCTCGCTTGATGTCAAGGATATCGGAGCCGATTGTAAACCGGAAAACCATACCTGCACATGGGAAGCCGTTCCAACACTTGCGGTTTGCGGCGAATGCAACCAACTGAGCGTCGACACTGTGTGCACCGACAAGTCACAGACTTGCAAGTACAGGACGCCATCTGACACTTCATTCGATGTCGCCAACTCACCGAACACGGAAAAGTTCAAGGTGACGAACTCGCTTGACGGTGTCTTCCATCACATGAACTCAACTTCAC